CAAATTTATTAATAAAATGATAATTAAATAGGTTTTACATAATCATCAAGAGTTTTTTGAGTTTTTCTTTCAATAAATATACTATTAAGCTCACGAGTAAGCTTTTGGAAAATGGTAAGTCGATTTTGAGTAGATAAAGAAGGATCTTCTTGCTGAAGAAAAAGAAAAATATTATGAATAGAAGAAAGAGCTAATGAAATTAATATTTTAGGAAACTCTGGTCCATCATTATCACTATTGTCAGTGTTGTCTGATTGACTAATGGTATTTACTATTTCTTCAATACTAAGCATGCGGTGAATAGCTTCATTTTTAGCAGGAATGTCAATATATTCTTGAGGATTCAAGATTTCATAATTTACCAAAGATTCAAGAATATTCAAAGCTGAATTTAATTATAATTCTTCATCTTGTATATTGGTCTTGACAAAATATGTGGTGGCAGTCATGTCATTAGTATTCATAATGCCTATTTTTTTCTAGCAATTCAAAATGGTAGTAGTGGTAACTGTATTCCAAGCACTGGCAATATTGTATACAGCATCTAATAAAGTTGGAGGTATATTCATAGTATCATTTTTATATTACTAAAGAAGCCAATAAATATGAAGATTGCGATAATGAACTTTGAATGATTTTATTATTCCAGCATCCAGTGGTTGTAAATGACTAGTAGTATTAGATAGAAGAAATTTGATCGTGATATTGCTAAGTGTGAGACTGTGTTCAATGTGTCCTGGTACATTATCAAGAAGGAGGAGAATTTGATGATTCTGAATACGCATTTGAGCATCTAATTTTTTAATCCAAGGTTCAAATAAAATACCAGTCATCCAAGTCTTTTTATTAAAGGTGTAATCAACTGGTAAATTATTTATGTTGATTCTATGAAATGGTCATGGTGTCTTTGCATGACCAATAACAAGTAGGTGGATTTTTTCAGTACCTGATAAATTGCAGCAAAGCATAACTGTAACTCAATCCTTTAATATTTTTTTTCCAGCATGCGACGTGGTAGCAAGTATTTTGTTTGGCATCATTTTCCAAAAGAGGTCAGTTTCATCAGCATTAAAAATATTATCAGGATGATATGTTGAAAGAAGTTCTTAAAGAGTAGCACAAAACTCAGGAAGATTATCAAGTGAGACACTATCTGCTTTATCATGTAATATGATTTGATGTATACCGTGATGAGTTTTGAACTGATTCAACCATTCATTTGATTTTCTGAAAGTTTCATTATTTATACCTAGTTGTGTAGCAATAAGATCCACTTTTTTCAATAGAATAGCATCAGTGACAAAGATATTAGTATGAATAGCTTCAAGATACCATATCCATAATCCTTCTTCTATTTGAGGAAATCTTGATGCACGCTCACAAATACGTTTTTTTCTTTGATCTATATCATAATTTAGCCACTTGTCTTTTTGTTAAAGCAATGTGATGATAAAGGTATGTGTCTTCTGAAACTTGTTAGCTATGGCCTGGTGAGTCCATGTTCGATCTTTTTCAATAGTTTTTGCAAACTCACAAATTATCTTTTTTTTAGCATGTGTAGTTTCTTGTCAGTGCCATTTGTTCTTAGGTAGTATTAGGAGTGGTGATATTGGAAGTGGTGATGTTGGGAGTGATAATGTCAGAAGTGGTAGTAGGAAAATAGATATATTCATATCAGATATTTCAGCAAGAGGTTCTATATCAGACATAATGAATAAAAGATGCAAAAAATGTGTAAAAATTGATGTTCATTATATTTTGTTAATAACTAGTATCTAAAAAATAAATTAGAAATAATCTGAAAAATGAATGAAGAGATAATAACCTTTTCAAAGATTAGAACGTAGAAGTGAAGAGTAATGAACAAAAAAATTATATTCATATGAACCCTATTATTATGACATTATATTACTATTTCAGGATTTTTTGATCATAGTCATAATAATGAGTACTAGTAGATGTCATTATATTGGGAGCAAAAAAGGCTTTAATAGTTTGGATTTCACAGTTTGGTCATACTAATGCAATTGTCATACTATCGGAGGTCATATTAATAGGGGCTGACTGTATTATAAAAATATTATAAGAACATTACAAAAATATTATTAACTATAATTGAATCTATAACTGATATATCAATTATATTATTCAAAATCACATGTCTTCTAAAGATTAATTAATTAGTCAAATTTTTCAAGTTTGTAAAATAATGAAATTAAAGAAATTTATGTTACTATAATAACATTATATTAATTTTTATTATTAGTTATATATTGATATATATCAGAATTATTGATATATATTAAAATAAATATTTGATATATATTAATATATATTAAAGTAATTAATATATATTATTTAATAATTTATATTATTAAATATTATTATTTAATAATATAGATTATTAAATATTATTATTTAATAATATAAATTATTAAATATTATTATTTAATAATATAGATTATTAAATATTATTAAATATTATTATTTAATAATATAAATCATTAAATATTATTATTTAATAATATAAATTTATTAAATTAACTTATT